TGATCAGGTAGAAACTGAATGTGTAGAAATCTGTGCATAATTCCTTACAGAGTAATGCAGCCTACTAGACCTATGTTATGTAGTTAGACAAGTACAACAAGAACCATTCTTAATTTGTAATTTAGCTTCTTTGTTCTTTAAAACTGTTGAAAAAGTTATTTCATTGGTTACTATTTACATTTTTTTTTATTTTAAAAGTGTTTGCTGTGAAATTTCATTGGTATTTTGGCATCATCAACCCTGGAACGCTGACAGTTCATGTCGGTTGTTATTGTTAACTCTTGTGACAGAGAAGTGTGCTTAATTGTATTGAATATCCACTTGTAGTGTGCTTCCAGTCTTAAAAGTATATTTTTTTTAAAAACTGCCCTTATAGATAATATAATATTACTGAAATACTTAAGAGTACAATTTCATGACTGTGTTTCTATCTTCCATTACGCAGCACTCGTATGTTGTTAGGATGACAAAAAGGTTTGAAAGTTACATTAACAGCGCTCGTCAATGTCAAAATGATTGAGATGGCCAATCAAATGTGGTCAAAGTAGGCAAGGTTTAGTAGGCAATTGGGTCAAAAATGCTCTAAAGTCCAATTTACATTTATATATATATATGTATATATTATAATAATAACTCTAATATATTTTCCTTTAATTGCAACTAACATGCAATTAAGCTTCTGAAAACATTTACAAGTATATTCTAAGTATATTATTTCCGCAATGAGTTCTCATTTTAGAAGTATAATTTTTTTTTCTTTTTTTACAAGGGAACATTCACTGATATAGCAGAGTCTCAACTTTGTTTGAGATTTCCAGAGATAAATGAAGGTGGGCTGTGTATTGAATATTAAGGTCAGTGATTTTGTCTGGGCTGTCAAGCCGTTGAGTCCGAGGGCATCGGGCCAGACCTTTGCAGCTGCTCTCTCTGTAGTGCCTTTGACTGGGTGAACAGTGAACCCCCTTCCCCCTCTCGTCCCACAGGAACATCCTTCACCGTCCTTCACTGGTGCTGCGGCCCGGGGTGACTGAGGGCTTTGTGTGTCCGTGGGGGGTGTTGGATGCTCTTGTCAACATGTCAAGAATCAGACATAAGTCCCTTTGCTAAGTCAGCAAATCCTACTTGTAACCGAATTTCATGTGATTTACATCAAAAGGAAACAGAAGCAGAAAATACACCAACATTTCCAAACAGATCTGCGCGTAAAGAAACTGAACAAGGCATAACGAAGCCCTGAAGAATCCAGCTAAACCAGTCTGCTGACATTAGTTTCCTTTGAGCTGTTAGTAGGCTTGCTGTAATTATAGGTGACCCTTTGCAAAAACAACAAACTGTCAATTGTTTAACCAGCTTGACACACACACACACATGTGTAAACTCTAGCAGGTGGAAACAACGTGATGTTTATAGTCTGAGAGCTCTATACACACCTGTTGCAGTGTCAAGGAAGGAAGCATGTTTCTAATGAAAACCTTATGTTTCTAGAGAAATGTTCTTAAATACCTTATGTAGCTTTCTATCTTACTTTAGAAGTCTCTTATACTCACCAAGGCTGCATTTATATGATCAACAATACAGTAAAAACTTTGAACAAATAAATGACTTCATAATTATGTGAAAACACGTACGGTAACGGTGGTGTACTGTATACATACCATTTCATTGTCTGTTTTAAATCTGTATTTGAATTGTCCCGCTCTGAGCAGCGCAGTCTCACATGTCAAAACAAACTCCACGAGGCGTCAGCGATAGCTTTTATTTCGCCTTAAAAAGCCGTTCTCGTACTGCGTAATCACAGCGCACCCTTCTCAGCCGCTCCAGCAACAGACGCAACCCGGAAACACTGTCTGTATGGATTTTTGCCGATAACCCATTGTCCAGCAATCGGTTATCAGTGCCTATTAATCGGCAAAACCGAACAATTGGTTGACCTCTAATGATATCGGGGGGGTTTTTTATCTACAAAAAGCATTTCAACATTAAATATGTTTAACATTATGTTTCTACTGTCGCTTTTGATCGATTTAATGCCTCTTTTCTGAAAAATTATTAAAATATTTCTTTCAAAAAACTTTTTCTTGACCCCTAAATTGAATTTTTCAACTCTGAAAAGGTTTAACAGTGTGTTCAAGCTTTACAGGTTTTATAACTGTTCCCCCATAACTTTTTTTAGCAGTCCTTACAGCCCATAACAGTACTTAAAGGCACACAATGTAAGATTTTTGGATCAATCAAAAACCACTAGAACAATGTTATATATTGTGTTGATTTGTGTACTTACATTATCCCAAATGTTTCTAAGAATGTTTAAATCCAGAGAACTAATCATTGTTATACAGCTCAACACAGTTAGCCTTTTTGTTTAAATCTTGTTTTCTTGATTTACCGCGAATATCATATTTGCCATGCCTAATATGGATCTAGCTCACTGCAGTGTGCAACAAGTTTCTAATATAGACGCCGAGCAAACGCACAGAGTGGCATTATAACAACTTTTAACACACTCAAATGCATCTAATATGATAAAACAGCACTGCGTTACCCCACATACACAACGTTTACACAACACCAATTTTAACTAAAAACCGAAAACTTTTTATGCGTTTTGACTGTTCATTAACACAACAACAGTATTTTTGGGGCCTGAAAACGTAAGCTTTTAAAACGGGTTTCAAAGTGCAAGTTTTTGAAAACTATACTGTATTTGTGTCCTTAAACAACAAAAACGCAAATTTGTGAAACCGGTGACGTCATGCACATATTATGTGTTCTGTCGGGTAATGTTTCTTAACTAAGTGACCTCGCCAACTACAGCAGAATACAGCGTTTTTTTTTTATTCGTGTGAACGGGGATCGCTTTGGCAGCGTTGTTGCCTGTACACAACTTTTTTGTACATCGTAACTAGGGTTGGGTACCGAAACTCGGTGCCAATAGGGAACCGGTTCCGACGTAAACGGTAGTAACCAGACCGAATAAGAAGGAAAATTTCGGTGCCTGATTTCGGTGCCTAACTTCATTAGGCACACACGCACACACACAAGGTCTCTCGCTCTCTCTCTCTCCGCCGTGCGTGTGCTACACAGTTTGGACCACAGTCTCTTCTGTCTCGCATGCGCGCCCTTTCTCGCAAGGTTTGGCTGCATTTCACGTGTAAAATTACGGGTCAGAACGCCCTCTGGGTGTGCCGATAGTCTGAATCCCATATAGAATCAAGCCAATTCATTGGCTGATGGCGCGGGCGCCGCATCGACGCACTTACGTCGTCATATTATGTTGGCGCGCGCGCGCCATCTGCACCTCAGATTTCTTTGCCGAAAAAGGGAGCTGGTCGGCAGCGCGAGGAGCTTGGCAGCGTCTCGTTCCCTATTGAGAGATATGTTACACTATGGAATTATTTTTGTGCCGATAATAATGAACGTAACTTTTCAAGAAACTAATGAAAATATAAATTGAAACTGAATAAAATATCTTTGAAACTGAAAAAGAATGAATCGCAAGCAATTTTTTTACTTTGTTTTTAATACACTGCATGTTTTGCTAACTATTCCTCATAATTCTTTTACTGATCTAAACTTACAAATGCGCTTCCAGAGTTTTCATTTACGCTTCTGAAGTTTTCGTTTGCTTCTGAAGTTTTCATTTACGCTTCTGAAGTTTTCGTTTACGCTCCCTGAGTTTTCGTTCGCTGTTCTGACACAAATCTCTCGTGGGGGCGGGGCTAGTAGCAGTGTGTTCTCATTGGCTACTGAGTTTTTGATTGACAGCTTCTTGACCTGGAAGTGAAGACGTCAGTGTTGCGTTTACTTGTGTGGATGTGAGCGTCTGTAAGCGGAGCTTTCTATTTAATTTTAGTGATATTAAGTTATGTTTGTTTTTGAATTTTATCTGTATTTACCTGCTGCTGCTACTACTTTGTCAACAGAAACTTTTAGGAGCACAAGAGATCTCTTCAGTCTATTCAGGTGTAATTCTACATCAAAGTAGGCCTACTGTATATGCCTACTCAAAATATTGTGTCCAATGTTTTAGGAGAATATTTGTTTATTCCTGATGATTCTTTTGCATGTTAGGCTCTGATTAGGTTGTGCTATTACAATTTAAAGAGAATAGCCTACTAGTATACGTGTGTGATATATTCAGCCGTCAAGAAAGTTTCACTTCAACCAGGTAATCAAGGTTGGCAACCATGGCCATCAAATTTCTCATTGTTACCATATGCATTTACACCATCAAAATGTATGATCACTTAAATAAGAGGAATTTAAACTATGAAAATTACAATCGTGGCTTGCTGTCAGATGATACAGACCTCAAAGGACATTTCATTACATATTTCACACAAACAATATTTTGTTGCCATTTTTTTAATCATGCTGATAATTTTATTTATTTCAATTGGTTAATATTATCTTCTAACATTTAAAATTGTAAATATATTTGAACAATCATCAACAGGTTCAATTATGACTTATAAAATAAGTTAAATGAATTTAAATAATAAATCAAATAAATGTACATTCTTTATTGTCACTACAGCATATACACAAGTATCAAAGTGAAAGTCTTGGATGCGATTATGTTGTGACAGGAAAGACCAGAAGCCACAAAACATTAACTGCATACTATACATGTAATGCACAGTATTCTCATAATATACATACAAAATGCATAATTACAAAGATTTTTAAGGAAATAATCCATCTCTGTGAGTCCATATAAGACGAGTGGATTGTAACCCATGTATAACCCATGTATGACAATTGGTCGGAAGTGATTTTTAATAGTTAAAACAATTTACATTATTAGTATTTTTCTTATCCTATTGTTTCACTTCAGAAGGCATTGATTCATCCACTGAGGTCGCATGGACATCACGCTCACTGTGTGTGGTTTTTAAAGCATCTTTAGGACTCGCAGAGATGGATTACTTTCCTTAAAATCTTAAATTCTTAATTCGTATTTATCTGTAGAAAGAAAGTAAAATGCATCTGGGACAGCATGAGGGTGAGTAAAATAAGTGAGAATTTTATTTTTGGGTGAACTATCCCATTCATATGCTGTTGGTATGCTAATCCATGATCAGCATAGACTAATAAGAATAAACTGCAACCTCTTGTGTACTTGTAAACTGTGTTTGTTTTAATCTAGAGCTCCAAAGAAATTAAAATATTTGCTATTTTATAATATTAAAATAAAATACATCAGGTGTCTGAAGATCAGGATCCCAGTCATTCAAAGGTGATATGTCTGAACAAAGTAACATTATTGTCTGATGGAGACAGTTGATCTCTGGTATTATCACTCCATCCTCTGTGTCAGCATCAGAATTTTGTTTATGGAAAAGTTGCTCAACTCCCTGGAAAATGAGAAAGGAAATGTATTATAATCTAACAATACAAACTGCTTTGAACTCCCACATGCAGTAACAAGTTGCAGACTTAAAATAATTATTTCAAACAAACTATATAAATGTTCTAAGGGATTTTACAGAACTAAATATTTACCTCCGAGTCATGCACCATTTATCATCTGTAATACTGTTGTGTAACCAGTAGATGGCTGTATAGCCCTATAAACATTTATCCATGGCTGTGTATTCCCTAGTTGCTGGATGTTTTCAGTCATAATTACTTGCATGTATTAGGTTTTGCATTTGGACATATATTTATTATTAAAGACTATTAAAAAATTCAACATTTTTCTCCGAAATGTTTTTTTTTTTTGCATTATTATTGCTCAAATATGGACACAGAAAAAGCATTTTGTTGCATTTTGCAGAATAAATATTGCGCCCAGGGTGATACTTCAAAATAATTGAGTGTTTACATATTATGAATAGAGACATGGAATGTGGTCAAGTCCTGTCTCTCCTCTTTTAAAAACTCTGCATCGCAAATTAATCAGCAATTGGCTTTACATTGCCAAAGTTGAATCGGGCAGTGATTGACAGCGCTCTGGTCCAATGGCATCGGTCATTGTCTGATACAGTACTTTATGTACTGTAGGCTACAGTGCAGATACTGTACAGTACTCTAGCCCAATGTTGTTTGGGGTGGAAGGGGGGAAATATGATCTAATCGAAGACTGTAATGTAACCGTATGTAACGTTAGATAAACAAGTCATGTAATGATTGGGCTAACTACCAATTAAATCAAGACGACACTGCTGTATAATGTTATGGGCTCTCACTCAGCTCTAATATGCCTCTCCACCTGAAAAAGCAAGTACTGTATTATAAATAGTATTAGTTTAGTATTAATTAATAAAAAAAAAATATAAAAAAAAATCTGACTTACCACGAGTAGGCTATCCAGTATTCTGATATCGACGATGACAAATTATATCATTTGTCTGTACTATTCCTTCTATAAGAAATCATCTCAACAATATAGTGTAGCAGTAAATAAATACAGATATAAACTTAATATCACCTAAATGAAATAGAAAGCTGCGCTTACAGACACTCACATCCACACATGTAAACGCAACACTGACGTCTTCACTTCCAGGTCAAGAAGCTGTCAATCAAAAACTCAGTAGCCAATGAGAACACACTGCTACTAGCCCCGCCCCCACGAGAGATTTGTGTCAGAACAGCGAACGAAAACTCAGGGAGCGTAAACGAAAACTTCAGAAGCGTAAATGAAAACTTCAGAAGCAAACGAAAACTTCCGAAGCGTAAATGAAAACTCTGGAAGCGCATTTGTAAGTTTAGATCAGTAAAAGAAATATGAGGAATAGTTAGCAAAACATGCAGTGTATTAAAAACAAAGTAAAAAAAAATTGCCTGCGATTAATTCTTTTTCAGTTTCAAAGATATTTTATTCAATTTCAATTTATATTTTCATTGATTTCTTGAAAAGTTACGTTCATTTTTACCGGCACAAAAATAATTCCATATTACACCAGTAACCAGAGATGTTCTCTTTCATAGGTTCACTCAACGCTGCGTAGCTAAGAAGCAGTGTATTTGTAGGCTTGGCAGCTCTGCCTGCTAGTAATCTCTATTAATCTCCAGTATTATTACATTGTTTGATACAATATTGTTTCATTTGATATTATGTAAATATGAATTTTTATTTTATATTGGTTTTATTATTACCATATGTTACTTGTATTTATATTGTTTAAAGATTTAAGTTAATATTGTGTCCAGTTTGGCCCTGTAAATCAAAGGGTATTATTTTTTGATAAAGTGTGTGCGGTTTCATTTTCTTAAGTACCGATTTAAGAACTGTTTAAGCACCGGAACCGTTTAAAAAATACCGAGTAGGTACTGGAATCGGATAAAACCCAAACGATACCCAACCCTAATCGTAACATGTAAACGGATCCTTAGTTTGATCAAAGTTGAGGCCAAAAAAGTCTGAAATTGTATAACAGAAGTTATAATTTTAGGATTTCTTAAATTTGGGGAGCGCAGAAACAGGAATCGAGGTACGGTCTAATATGGTTATTATGCTTAAAAGGGAAATGATGGAATTAAATTAACATAAGCACTGCATTCAAAGTCAAAATGCGGCGCTGTTGCTCGTTCTACAGGCTTGTCTTTTTTTTAGAGCAGTGTTTCAAGTAAAAGAATCTGCGATACATGACTTATTTTGTATGGGTTTGTTCTGTATGGATATACGGTGTTAATTGAATTTGTGCAAGTTTTAAAGGACCTAAACAGTCTTAGGCTAAATTTTACAATTCTGAAGAATGCAGATACCCTGCTGCTTTTAGAGAACAGGCCTACAAATGGTTTTCTGAAAGCGGCAGGGTATCTGCATTCTTCAGAATTGTCAAATTTAGCCTAAGACTTTTTAGGACCTTTAAAACTTGTGTGTAAAAGTGTGGCACTATCAGAACATTGATCTGTTTGTTTGAGGTGCAGAAATGGCATTCTTTACCCTTTCTAAAAAATGTTTTCTTTCTCTTTTCTCTTCTTCTTGTGAAGGTCTGGATGACAACCTGCAACAGTATGTGCACAACTTTGAGAGAGAGAAGATTAATGGAGAACAGCTACTGAAGATCTCCCATCAGGACCTTGAGGAACTGGCTGTTGCCCGCATCGGCCATCAGGAACTGGTTTTAGAGGCCGTAGATCTCCTCTGTGCTCTGGTTAGTATTAATCACGTGTGTTGTGCTTCTAAATTGTGACCTATTTATTACATACTGTATATACATTTGCACTTGTGATATCGCTTATCTATATCACATAGAAAAAAATCATACAAAATTTTGCCCTGATATCTTGAATTTTATAGATATTTAACTGCATTCTATTAGGATTCATCACGCAGTGAGCGGTTTCATGTTCATGTTCGTCACCAATCAACTGTATGAAATGTAAGATGACCTACGTAGGTCTGGGGCGGGTGCCTTAACTCTGTTAAATCTTTTTATTTGCTTTATTTTTCCATAAGTAATTAATTAAATGTATGCCTTAAATCGAGAGCCCTAAAATATTCAGTATTTATATTGGCTAATGGTGATTGATTGAATGCAATTCTTTCATTACTATATTCACTAAAGGCCTTTCCCGGCCTACAAATATTGACTAGTCAGTAGTATTATTGTCTCCCATTCATCTACTAATTTAAAAGAAATTGGTAGTTAGTCACATGACATTTGAGCATTCATGCAGAAATCAGCTTAAAGGGATAGTTTAACCAAAAATGAAAATGTTGTCATCAGTTACTCACTCTCAAGTTGTTCCAAACCTCTATGAGTTTCTTCCTTCTGTTGAACACAAAAGAAGATATTTTGAAGAATGCTGGTAACCAGACAGTTTACAGTAGCCATTGACTTCCATGTTTTTTTTTTTCTTCCTACTATGGAATCCCAACGCATTCTCATCCTTTGGCGTCATATAGGTGACGCCATATGACATTTCGTCGAAATCTTATGCACATGGCATCCTTTAGTCACAATATAACACGCACTGTTATGGGTAGGTTTAGGTCTGGGGTAGGGTACGGTTATGACGCCTTGGGTTCTGCGTCTCATATTGACGCTAAAGGATGCCATGTGCGTTGGATTTAGACGAGCGTCACCTGTATGACGCCTTGGGTTCTGCGTCTCATATTGATGCTAAAGGATGCCATGTGCGTAAGATTTCAACGAAATGTCCAAAGCGTCACATGTATGACGCCGAAGGATGAGAACGGGCTGGGAATCCAATGGCTGTTTGATTAAAAATGCCTTTGTGTGTGTTCAACAGAAGAAATAAACTCAACTTGAGAATGAGTAAGTAATGACAGAATTTTCATTTTAGGGTGAACAATCCCTTTAAGGATTCAAGCTTTGGAATAATAATGCTGTTTACCACACAGAATAGTATGATTTTTAAAAAAGGAAACCTGGAAATCAGTACATGAGAAATGACTATGGCTCAGAAAGACATTGGTTTCTGTGGGGAAGAGAATTCAAGGACCTGATATGAACACATGGAAATACTTAGGTAGAATGTCTTGGTGGCTTTGACTGATGGTCATGCCAGTGCTTGTAAAAGATACCGTACATCGCAGTGTCCAGCACTGAATGCTATAATTGCGCCCAGACCCCTAGCATCAAACGCAGACAATGGCCACAAATCTATTTTGGGTTCCCCATTTTTTCTCAGTGCGAAAAACGTTTTAATAATCTAAAGAATCTTTTTCCACTTTAAATAACCTTTTGTTGCAATGGGAGGTTTCCATTGATGTTAAAGGTTCTTCTAGAAACACAGATGCCAATAAAGAACCTTTATTTGCAGAGGCGGACAGAGTACAGAGCTTTGTTACTTGAGTAAAAGTACAGATACCCCTTGCTAAATTTTACTCAAGTACAAGTAAAAGTACTGCATTCAGATGTCTACTTAAGTAAAAGTACTAAAGTACTTGTTTTTAAAAGTACTTGAGTAACAAGAGTACAAGAGTAAATTTTCTAAATATTGCATTACTAATCTACTGCCACAGTGCTTACATTTATGCACAGAAACGTCCTACATGGAGTTATGAAAAATGTTAATGTTAATACCTTGGAGAATGTAAAAGGAATTGAAAGTAAAATCAAGTCATTTTCATCTTTTTACCATGTTGCTTTATTTAATTTAATTAAAATTTTGGGGGGTCCCATCTTTAAATGCGGGGACAACACACACACACACACACCACATGTAAGGGTGGCGCTGCCAATAAAGCACCTAAAAGCTGTCACAAAGAACCGGCAAAAGGAATGATTATGAATATGTAAAATATAGCAAGGAGATATTTTAATTGTTTATTAATAAACACTTGTTAATAAACAAGTGTTTTCTTTGTCAGTGTCGGCTAGATGAAGTTGACGATGCTGACTCGCGATCTTCCGTAGTGAACGCGCCAGAGAGAAATGCACATTTCATACGGATTACATAAGCAGAGAACAGTCTGTAGTCTGTTTTCTTTCGTTTTGAATTTTTCTGTTTAAAAGTAGACATGTCTGTGAGAGGCAAGTAGAGGCTACCTTATACACTGAGTTTCGGTTCATTTATGAGACGAGATCCAGTTCACGTGCCGGCGCCTCCGTTTCTTATCTATCGTCTGCTATTTACTTCTTATTTATTAAACCCAGGCAATTGGTTGATGAAACATTGATTAAAATTAAGATACAATTAATGCAAAACGAAATTCAGGTTAAAGAAAGGTTTTGTGTTTTCTGTTTGATGTCTCTGTGAAAGTTTTAAAGCATTTTTAATGCCGCTTTCAGAGCGCTCACGTCCGTAACGGAGAACACATCCATAACATTGTTTTTTCCTCATAAATGCAAACCCGAAAAATAAAGGAGACTGAGTGCCAACCCTTCTTCATTCGCTGGGTAGTAGCCTACTTTGGTTTGCGCAGTGTAATTCACACAATCAGTAAAATATTTTGCCTCCTAAAGTTTTTTTTTTTAAGAAATCAGAAATCCCTCGTGGCTACGCCACTGCCACATTTGAACCTGACTGTGTTAAACACACCACATACTCAAGAACATCAAACCAAATGCTTGGCTTACATTAATGTGTAATATCAAATCTGACCATGGAGTTGACTTTGGCAGAAAGCTGAAAGTGATTGCTGATAGGCTGTCCCAATCAGTGGCGCCTGCACAATCCAATCACGTTTGAGAGGGAAACAACAAATTGAGGGTTTCCGAGATTTTCTTTTTTTTTTTTACTCGGGTACTCACGTTTATGGATAGAAATGTATTGGAGTAAAGAGTACAATATTTGCCTCTCAAATGTACTTGAGTAAAGTCATGAGTACTCCCCAAAA